CCGCCGATCAGGGTCAACCCGGGCTAATTTAAGTGGGATACAACACTACAATGGCTAAGGCTAGTTTTTAAAAAAATGAGCCCAATCCTGAAAAATAGAAACATCTCAATGAACACCAAAATGACAGTCCTGAAATGCTATGCTAGGTCAACCCTTCTATATGGCTGTGAATGCTGGACAATCACTAAAGACGGTGAAAATAAAATAGAAGCAACAGAAATGTGCTTTCTTAGGAGACTGCTAAGAGTATCGTGGAAGGAAAAGAAATCAAATGAGGTAGTGCCTAATGAAGCCCACGTGGGACGCTCAATGTTAAAAACAATCAGGAAACGACAAATGCCGTTTTGGGACACCTGAATAGACATAAGGGTCTTGAACATCTAGCTCTCACTGGCAAAATTAAGGGCAAGCCAGGCAGGGGTAGGCCCAGATCAACATACTTAGGGAACCTAAACAAATTTGAGAGCATCCGAGCAAAGGAATGAATGGAAAACCATGATCGCCGATGTCTGTCGCAGATCTGGCACTGGATGATGATGATGACAACACCCCAGCAGGAAGATCGAGATTCGCGATATAAATGATTTCCCGCTCGAGAATCGAACTCGGGTCTCCGGTGTGCGCCTAACCTCTACGCCTCAGACACTGGTGGGAATCAATTGTCTTTTCGTAGAATGTTGTACCCCGAAAGGTCGAAACAGTCCACCTCGTAAATGATCTAAATTATGTCAACTCGGGCGTAAAAAAAATTCGCAGCCCATTTATATTTAGACGAAGTGGGTCGTTCAATTCAACACACACACATAAACAATCATTGTCTAACTCAGATCCTTTAAAATGCAAATATACGTTTTGTCACTACCTGCAGCTGTTATCTAAACGCTCAACTCAACAGCCTATACCATAAAGCTTGTTTTATTGTAGCAGATTCTGCACAGATCGCTTCATGGTGAATTGTGAAGGGCCAACTCGAGAACAGGGAGGTTACATGATATATTATTCGACCGGTGTGCCCCCCCCCCCCCCCCCCCCCCCCCCCCTCCGGTTATTTCATGTCATGTGAATTACAGGGTCCTTGCAGAAAGGCGAAGATAGTTGTTAAAATAGCCTTTAATTTAATATCTTCCGCGCTGGTGAAACAAACTCATGTCTTTTATCTGCAAGGCGAGAACTTTAGCCATAAAACAAGAAAACAACAGACCCTGGCGCAAACCTTTCCCTTCGTTTTCTGTTTAAACCTATTCGTACGCCGTGTTTTACTATCGTATCCACACGATGTGGGGAACTCTGTGCCACCACTTCCCAAAGAAGAAATGTACTCGTTAATCCGATCCGTACGCTTAAAAAAATATGGTATAGGTTTAACGCCCCTATCAACACTATTAGGTATTTAAGAGGCGGGACCTCCGAGTTAACGTCCATCTCCGAAAGGACCGAGCCAAAGGGGATTTTCGTGTAGTAAAATGTCTTTCCCGAGGGCACAACGTCGGACCGAGGTGAAGCTCGAAAACCCGCAATCTTACGATTACGGGTCCGGTAACCTAACCACTAGGCCTCCAACGCCACCCGTACAAAATGATCCCAGGGCGTATGGATAGAGTAAAGTTTGTTTCGTTGACTTTTTTAAAACGTTTCTTAATATCAGTTGTTTTGTTGTTTTTTCTATGACTCACTTATTTTATGTCGATGCTATAATTCAAACGTCTTCAGAATTCAGCACAATCTTCGTGTGTTTAAGTTTGTTTCGGTTATCTTTTTAAATGTTCCTTGTTTTTTTGTTTGTTTGTTTGACCAGAGAGTATTTAATAACTAAAATTAGTATATTTTAGTGTCTCTGGTTTGACACTGTTGTTTGTTTTTCCATGACCTACTTAATATATCATACTATGCCTTATGCATGTACTACGATGTCATTCAAATAAATACAGACTTCAGTCTTTCAATCGTCTGCAAACTTCAGTGTCACCATAAGAGACCTTTTTTATATTTAAAAAACAACATTTTTATATCATTTTTTTCTGGTCTCTTTTTCATGTTTTACGTATTCTATGACTCATACGATGCTTTAACTCAAACGTCTACAGAATCCAGCACCACAACAGGAGACCCTAGCGCAAACCTTTCTCTTCGCGTGCTTCGTTAATTTGTTAAAGACGTTCCTTGTTCCTGGTTTGTTTGTTTTGTTGGTGTTTTTTCTATGACTTACTTAACGTATTCTATGCCTTATTATACTACAATTCTATTCAAACGTCTGCACACTTGAGCCTCAGCAACAACAAACCTTTCTCTTCGCATGGTGTTTTAAGTTTGTTTTGTTAATCTAAAACCGTTCCTAGTTTCTGGTTTTTCTTTTTTTCCCGTGATCCTTGTTCATTCAACCTTTCTCTCGGCGTTTTGTTTAAGATTGTTTCGTTAACCTTTTAAAGTGATTCCTGTTTCTATTTTATTCCATGACTTATTTCCTTATTCTATGACGGAAACGATGCTATAATTCAATCGTTTGCAGACTTGAGCGTCACCAACAACACAACAGACGCAGATTCCGGCATGCAGAAAAGTCAGGGATCAACTTTCCCTCCCTGGTCCCTCCTGGTGGCAGAAATGTTGCTCCTCGTCAGTTTGAGTCGAATCGTGTCTGTCTTCGGCATCGGAAGCAACATCATCAACATCGCCGTCTTCTGCAAGCAAACATCATCAAGAATGTGGTAGACCCCCAAAGCCAAGTAGTATTCCTAACAGATACCATGTCAGTACTGCAGGCAATCACTTCCGGCAAACTACCGAGGCTACGAAAAGTAATTGAGGACATCCCATGTCTGAGGATCATGCTGCAGTGGATTCCATCCCACTGTGGTGTCTTGGGAAATGAGCAGGCAGACAGTATGGCCAAACCAGGAGCACAGAAAGAGCAGCCAGACAACAGCGTTAACTACACAGAAATAAAAACTATTATAAATGCACTATTTAAAGCACATCAGACACCAGATAGCTACCATGAGCTGTCCTGCCAGGAACAAGTGATTATCCTCAGACTAAGGACACAACACACAAGACTGAGACAACATATGTACAAATGTTTTAAACTAGTACAATCACCAAAATGCCAGTGTGGAGAGGCGGACCAAACTGTTGAACACATCCTTCTGCACTGCAAGACACACAGGGCCCTGAGACAGGAAACGTAGCCAACCCCACTGACGCTACAAGAGAAGCTATACGAGCCGACAGATGAACTGAGCAGGACGGCCCAATTTATGACAGATACCGGACTTCAAGTGTGATGCGATCGAGAAGAAGAAAGAAGAAGAGCAATCAGGCTTGTGGTTATTGTCGCCTGTATCTTGATTGGCTTTCTCACCCCAGGAACTGTTCTTTTCCTCAGCACCAAATTTGAACCGGAATTTAATCTCTAAAATTACTTATTTAAACATCCATGAATTTGGAGAGCGTTACACTATTCCTATAACAAAAAGACTATTTCTTTCACATGCATGTCTTAAGGGCGGGATATTGGAAGCACTTCCGGGTAAAGAGCAATCACCCTAACAAACACAATGAAGAAGAGACCTAACCCTAACCCTAACCCTAACCCTAACCCTAACCCTAACCCTAACCCTGACCCTGACCCTGACCCTAACCCTAACCCAACCCCTAACCCAAGCCTAAACCCTAACACTCTCGCCCTAACCGCTCCCAAGGGGGGGGGGAGAGAGAGAGAGAGAGAGAGAGAGAGAGAGAGAGAGAGAGAGATTGACAGGCACAGAGAGTGACAATGAGAGAGAATGTTAATAACACTGTGAGACAGGCAGAGACAGGCAGACAGACAGAAATACAGTTTCTATCTCTCTTTTCAAGGATCAAATGGTGGTCTGATGCGACGTCTGCTCCTCGTAAGAATCGGACGTCCTCCAGTGAGCGTCTAAACTTTCGGGAGATGCAAAAATGGTCAATCTGGTTTTCCGTTTTTCCATCTGGGGAGACCTAAGTGGCCATATGAATTTTTTATGTGAAAAGATTGTTCCTCCAATAACCAAGTTGTTGAACGCATAGAAGTTCTGGAATCTTTCTCCGTTGTCATTTGCCTCTCCTAATCCATGTCTGCCCATGATTTCCTCTCAGTGACTATTGTCCGAACCTACCTTTGCATTTAGGTCTCCCATGACAATATTGATGTCATTACCTGGAAGTTTGTCGATCACACTCTGCAGGCGGTTGTAGAAGTCATCTTTATTCTCCTCTTCTGAAACATTGGTTTGGGTATACACTTGTACGATAATCACGTTTATGACCTTCTTCCTACCATCTCTGTCCTTGGGTTCTTTAATTCTTATAATTCCAAATGAGGCTATGATGATCCTTGGGCGTGCGCTTCCCAGCCCCTGAATGTCTTTTCAGCTGTTTTGGATATGATCATCCCTACTCCTTCCCTGTGTGGTCCATTACTTTGATTTCCAGTTAATAATAATAATTGGTCACTTTATTGATGAGTTTGTTCCTTACCTGTGAAATACCCACTCCAATAAGGTAGCCTAACAATTGCTGTGCCCAACAGAAAATTTAACTCATGAAATGCTATCTCAAACTAGATCTAGATCTAGTGAGCTTTTTGTGTTTTTTGTTATTGTTGGATTGTTTGTTTTGTTGTTATATTTTTGTTGTTTGTTGTTAATTGTTGTTGTTGTTGTTTTGTTGGGGTTTTTGTTTGTTTGTTTGTTTGTTTGGAGTTTTTTTTGCTGTTGTTGTTGTTTTGGTTGTTGTTGGGGGGGGTTTTTTGGGGGGGCTGCATAATATTATTATTATTATTCCTCTGCGGTCATCAAAATCTGTCAAATTGGAGAAGAATAATAGAGTGTGTAGATGCTTGTATCTGAGTGACCGAGAGAGGGAGGGAGAGAGAGAGAGAGAGAGAGAGAGAGAGAGAGAGAGAGAGAGAGAGAGAGATTGGTTATTATTTTCATTCATACTTTCTTTTGCGAAATGAAATCGTAACTGAACAAGTGCCAAGTACAGATAACTCTGTTTGCCTTTACCAAAAACATGGCGTCGACCCTGTTGAGCCTCCGCAACCTTCTGTAAGTTTAATAGCCTCGGCATGAACTTATCAAATTGAAAGGTTAAACTTTGTTGCCACATTTGTTTGTGCACTACCACTGCTCAAACTAATATTTGTTCTCGAAGTTGGCTGGCACCTAAATCTAAATCTAGATTTGCCTGTGGTGCGAGAGACCAGAGACATTTTGACTTTGTGACTGACTGAGAGTTTTCGTTTTGAGTTTGAGCTGTTTGCTGACTACTCACTAGATCTAGATTATACTAGATTCTAGATATCTAGATCTAGATCTAGATCTAGACTACTGACTGATTTCTGAATCAGACATGCCTGACTTTTAATCACTAAGAGAATTGGGGCTCTCATGATCTAAAAGTTCAATGCGTGCCTCTCATTGAAAAAGGGCTTTTTGGGCTTTTGAGTCCAAAACCTGACTGCCTAGCCCTAACAGTTACAGCGAAGAAAATATGCTCTTCCTCTACTTTTAACCCTGTCCCCAGGACTAAAATCTAGATCTAGAAGCGCTCAGCGTTTCACTGGAAGTAACCCACCAAAAATGCCCTGCCGCCATGGCCGATCAGTTGTAAACATGGGGGTTTGGCAGGGGAGAATCAGCTGAGATACCCGAAATATACCTGCTACTGAACGACCATTTACGGCTCAACAGATGATAAAAAGCATAAAACCATATATTTTCTTTAAGCTGATAGAATGAGCCATTCAAAAATGATCAGCGATCAAATGAATACAAACAAAGCCCAGAACGCGATAGACTCAACAATTAGTACATCAGCACGGCGAAACAAGTGATAACATATAGATCTAGCGTGTAGTCACTCAGCGGGACCGCGTCACTTTATTGATCGATATCTCGGCCAAGAGACGCTCTACGAGGTCAAGATAACTTGCAAAGTCATTGGTCACTATTTATAACTTTGGCCTGTAATTGACTACGTCATTTTCCATATAGGAACACTGGAATTTTCCATTGTAAAAGGTCAGCGTCTACTATGCCCTGCGCGCTTCCCAGTCGAAGTAGGTCAGCCCTATATATAGCTGTCCCCGTCGCTTTATGCAAGAAAAATTCTGAAATTATGCAAACTGAGCCCAAAAATGTGAAATTATGCGATTCTGTTAATTTTAACAAAGAATGATAAAGGAAAATAATAAGAAATTATGCAAAAAGTGATCAAACTGCTAAATTATGCAAAAAGTGATCAAACTTTGCTAAATTATGCGGGGTGCATAAAACCACAGGGACAGATATAGGGCGTGCGCGCTTCCCGGGTAGCCCGGCTCACGCCCTTTATATAGCTATAGGGCCTGCGCGCTTCCAGGGTTAATGTTCTCCTTTCCTGGTCTCCAGTCATATTCTGTCATCTTTCTCCTCCACTTTCTCCCCCCAACCCAAGGCCTATGAACTCCTCTCTTCTGTAAATTTTTACTTTTAGACCTGCACAGAGTGCACTGTTTTGAGGGCTTACTGCCATAAAAATAAAATTGTTGTTGCAGAACACACAAAAATGGCATTATAATTGGTCACATTTTTATATAGTTCGTATAAAAATATCCAAAATCTCATAAAGTAATATAATTTGCAATGGATGTAAAGTCAAAATTTGTGTAAAGCAGATAAAAATGAACAAGAAAAGTGCTTTGAATAGAAGAATTTACTCAGCTTGAGACGGGTACAGAAGTAAAAAACCTCTCTTCTTTACTCTTGGCTCTTTCTTACTGCTGTCTTACAGTTACGGCCCCACCCCTGATCTGAGGGTAGGTAAGATCAAACACCTAGCCTTCTGGGATACGGGTGAAAAAACCTCAGAGTCCCGGGCTAATTGCGCACATGATGAAAGATCCCTTGATGTTCCTAAAATCGATAAAAGTGTAATTCTACCAAAACTGAACACACTCTAGTCAGTATAAAAACACATATAGAGCACCCTTGAAATCAGAATGTGGCTGTCTGAAGGCAAAGGCCCATACTATGTAGAAAAAATGGTCACTTACATAAAAGTCTGTTGTCCTGCAATTTGAAGAATCAGCAGTCAACTACCTCTGAGATCTAGCAGGGGAACCCAAAGAAGAAAAAGAAGACAATGGGGCCAATTCACCCCCTCACTTTTCTATTTTCTCTCTTTATCCACAGGAAGGAGACCCCAGTAGCTCTGAAAGTGTGCTCTTATTTGCACACTCAACAGACTCCTTTGCTATTCAAAGCATCTCAACAATTATGGTGAGCCTTATGTAGAATTTATTTTGTTCTCTACTGAATTTTAGGCCTATATGTCTTTCTTCACCACCTCCTCAATCATTCTTTTTTTTTTTTTCAAGTTTTTATAAAAGTTTGGAATTAAATTTTGAAGTCTCCTGGAGAAACTTTTAAGTAAGGAAAGGCATTGCTTGTACCGTGGAACTCGGATTCAACGAGGTCGCCGGGCCTGACCTAAAATCTCATTGAATCTGAGTGTTCGTTATAGCAAACACGAGGTTTTGTGTTGATAATTACAGGTACTGAGCAAGTAATGTATAAAGAGAAGCCACAAGTAGTGGGGAAAAAAAGACTGATTCGTTCAAATGCACACGCCTGTGTCATCTCGATTGTTTACCGAAAAGTTGTGTTGCTGTGCAGAGCCTAGCATATGGCAACTTTTAATTCCACAGACCAGTGCACATTTCATTACGTAGATCTACGTCAAGACTATCGTATCATTGTAATAATGATCAGTTGCCGAAGGGGGGATAAAAATTTGACTTACTTAAAACAGCAATAGACGGAGCTTTAGTAGATAAAATGCTGGTGAAGAAATAAAGGGTTTTTTGGGGGGTTTTTTGGGGGGGGTTCTGTTTTTAAAGCCTATATCTCTATCTCTATCTTTTTAATAATACATTTGTTTGTAGATCTAGATGTAGAAAGAACGTTGTATTATTGCTATTTAGTAAAGTAGATAGTACGCCACAGCGCCCATGTAAAAAAAAAAGTAATAACAAGGACCAAGCCTTGCCTATCACGTATGAGGGAGAGAGAAAACATGCAGGCTAGCCCATTGCTTTAGCTTGAATTCCTTCACACAGCTCGCCCACTGAAACATGGCGGACGCCGCTGTCAAATCTGGCCGTCGCGCAGCAAGGCGAGAGAGGGGCGTACGGTATCTAGTGCCTATAGTGTACATCTATGGTCGCATGCCATCGGCTAATTGAATAATGGCTATGGTTCACGATGCAGGTGCAATGGATGGTTTCCTGGAATAAAGTTTTTTCTGGGAGAAAAATGAGTGAAGCCACATCTGCGGGGGCTATTCACCCTGGAAGCGACCTCGTTGAATCCGAGCTCGCTGATTTAAGTTCTCGTTGAATCCGGGTTATTTTTATTGATTTTAAAGAAGAAAAAAACGGGGAATGTATCTCATTTCGTTGAATCCGAGTTCCACTGTATTCAGCCACCTCAGTGGTGTCACTAACTATCAGCCCGATGCATCAAGGCTGGAGTCTTTTGTGAGGCCTCTCATTTACATGCTCAACTCTGCCTGACAGGTCTGAGGCAGCCCACGGTCTGATGGGAATGGAGTTAAATAAAAAGCAGGACTTTTAAAGAACCCCAAAATTGCATGTTGAGCTGAGATTAAGTTTCGTACATTTGAGTGATGATTATGTTTTTGAATGCCCATCTCTTGATGTTTTGTTTTCCCTTTTTGAAATTGTCAAGACTGCACAAATATATATGTGGGTGGTTGGCAGGTGCTCTGGTATGGTTTTCGGCTTCTTCTTTCCTATCAAACATCTATCGTCCTTATCTCCCCTCCTTCTTTTTTATGTTTGTTACTCCCTTGTAACACCTCTAATCTTCTGGCGCTCATATGACCTTATGCCGTTGCGAGCGCTGTAAAATCTCTACTAAAACAAACATACACAATTTATATAGACGGCAATTCAAAAGTTTGATTGTTCAAGTGTTAATTTTTTTCCTTAGTTTTTGTTTCACTCTATGCTGCCCGGGAAGTTCAGATTGTTTCAGAATGCTATCAGGTCTGCTGAGGTAATATAGTATAAGTTGTTTTAACGCGCTCATATGACCTTAAGCAGTTGCGAGCGCCGTAAAACCCTATACTACTACTAGTAACACATAGAGCTTGCTGTTGAGCGGAAATTTACTCTATACAAATGTTATTTCTTTTATTTTGATTGGGTGAGTCTTAAATTTCGAAATTTCTTCTTTCCCCACAGGGCTGAGCCAATGAAAAAGAAAAAGAAGGTAGACCCAGGGGTCATCGCTGCAAGAGAGGCCAAAAAGATCAAGAGAATTGAGAAAGAAATCAAACGTCTGACCAGATTTGGGAGAATCTTGAAGCCTGTAGCGGAGATTGAAGGCGTGAAGAAAAGCGTTTTTGATACCAAGTGAGTAAAAGACTAGCGTCGTCAAGGCTGCTGCACTTTGAATTATAAGAGCTAATTTCATCGAGGCTGTGCTTATTTTTAAAGTTTGTTTGGCTCACTGGCTAGATGCTGTATTTCTCATTGTTATCCCCTGTGTATCTTTAAAAATCACTCTCTGTGAATCAGCTAACTGACATAAAGCCAGCCGAGATTATAGCTTTAGTAATGATACACTAAAAAAGATTGTGAACTTGAAAACTGCGATGGTTGGTGTAAATGTAGGCAGTTGAAACAGCTTAACCACAGCATATTTGGCATGGATCGGCAGTGAGCTAACAACTTGAAATGGGATAAGTACTTCGTCCACAGCTGACCTTGGCAAACAAGCCAACAGTTCATTGTGATAATGATATTAAGGGTTATAGACTTGCAATTGTTTGCAGTTTGCCCATGAAGTTCAATTTTTGGCAGTTTTATTTCTTCTTACAAAACTTTATCATTTTTGTTTTTATTCTACTTACAGCTATAAAGCTTCATCTCATTTTTATTTCCACTTTTGAAACTTCCATCATTTTTGTTTTTATTCTACTTACAGCTATAATGCTTCATCTCATTTTTATTTCCACTTTTGAAACTTCCATCATTTTTGTTTCCACCACAAAACTTTACCTTTCTTATTTCATTGTCAACACACGATAAACTTCCATAATCCTCCATCGAAGGATAATGATGCCTAAAATGGGGGGTTTTTTTGTTTGTTTGGTTTTTTTTCTTCAGAGAAAGACGTCGAGGTTCTGCTGTGCTCTCATTCGATGAGAGTGAACATCGAGCTTTGCTGCACAAGTCATGGGCCCGTCAGCAGACCCGTTACTGGCATGAGGAATATCAGCTATGTGCCCGCCTTCGTGCCGCTCAGGAAGAGGCCTTGGCAGAGTTGCGAGCGGAGTCGGAGGAGCTGTACCAGGCTGCCATCAAGGTGAGTACAATCAAAGTTCTCCTAGATGGCCACCCATTGTCAAAGAGAAGAGTGGTTGTCTCAGACAGGTCTACGTGTTGGATAGTGTTATTATAATGTAGGAAATGTTTCACGATGTGGTGGAATCAGGTACTCGTCAATTTTAGGGCAGATGGAGTTATTGATATCATTGTAAAGTGTATTTATTTATCTTTCTTTCGATTTATTTATTTTTTACCCATTTATCTTAAATAAGAGTTGGAATATTTGCGATCAAAGAGGGTAGGGGCCACCTTGTGGTCAAATGAACGAGAAAATGGCCACCAAAGTTTGGTGATCTCCAAAGTTTGAGAGTCCTTTGAAACTGAAAATTTACATTTTGGGAGCCTTTAATCAACATTTTTCCTGTAACATCCACACAGATATGTGTTTTTGAAATGTTTTAAAAGGTGTTGAGCCAAAATTTGATAAAAATTGCCAAACTAGCAGGAAAATGTCATTTTCTTCAATATCATAATTTTGCCGAGCGCCTGCTTTCACTATGATGCCTCACAAATGCAAGCTGGGAAGTGGTCATTCGTACAAGCGTTTGTCTTGAGCTAGCGTTTTGACATTTTCAGTCTTCCCACTTTTCTGTACATTATGTCCTTCTCTGTCCCTCTTCTCCTGGTTCCACTTGGCCTTTCCCATGATCTCTTACCCTGTGGATTCCAGCCCAACACTTTCTCTGTTATGCAGCTGCTTAGATTCTTGAGAGTACATGTATGTCCAATCCATCACCTCCAACTGTTATTTGTTCAGTAGTGGAGAACAAAAAATTAACTTGTGATGCGTCTGCAGCCCTAGTGACATTCCATGCTGGGAATGCTTAGCCCCACCCCACCATATCCCTTCAGACAGACGTTCACACAGTCACACGTGTATGGCCGCCAGTCCAATTTTATTCAACCCCAATACATACTAAGACGTATATTTTGCGTGAATCAACTAGGCATGTGTTGGTGTGGAAGATGGCCTCTGATTGGTTGGCATTGTTTGGCTGTGGGTCTCTGGTTCATCAATCACAGCGTGCGCTGAGTGATTTGCTATGTGTATAACTGTAACAATCCACAATGCAGGGTAATTGATGGTCTAGTGGAATTGGCTAGAGGCTAGAGGGGATAGGGTTTGTTGCTGGTACTGTGATTTAGCATTTTGAAAAAAAATCAGCACTTAGTCCATGATGCAGTGATTCACTGATTGCCACGGTTTTGGCATCACTACATCCCACACTCTCACAGTCCTTCCAGCTCCAGCTCTCGGTACACGCTCTCTTTTATTTTCATTTTTTGCTCTGCCGTGAGCCTAACTATACAGGTTTTATAAATAAGTTTTGTCCTGCATGCTTTTTAAAATCCGTGATTTCTGAAACCAAACATGGTTTTGGCAGTTGATGTTCTTCTTGCCTCTCCTCAGCCCCAGATCAGGATTCATTTTGTATTTTTAGGGTAAAGCTAGTTAAAATTAATTGTTTGTCATACTTAAGTCACGAAGGACTCATCAGAGTCCTATTCTAGTGTCGGGAAATATGTTTCGATATAGTTTCTATTGGTATGGGCTAGGGGTTTTGAAGTCAGTTTGGCAATCTCCCTGCACTCAATTACAGATTCAATACTGAATGATAGGTGGGTGCTTTGAACGATAGTCCATAAAATGGGTTTTTTTAAACGCCTCGCCTCATTTCAGACACACTGTTCATCGTAACCTGTGCACACCCAAACGCCCCCTTCCTTCCCCGCACACATATACAGTGGAACTCGGATTCAACGAGCTCGGATTCAACGAGAACTCGGATTCAACGAGATGAGATAGATTCCCCGTTTTTTTTCTTCTTTAAAATCTATAAGAATAACCCGGATTCAACAAGCAATTAAATCAGCGGGCTCGGATTCAACAAGGTCGCTTCCAGGGTGAACATCCTCCGCAGACGCGGCTTAGCTCATTTTTCTCCCTGAATGAACTTTATCCATTCCCGGAAACCATCCATTGCACCTGCATCATGAACCATTTTTCACTTATCCGATTGCATGCGACCAATCAGCCGCCTTTTAAAATGCCAACACATGTGTTGTGGGTGCACGCACTTGCATTCTCTGGCGTGTGTCAGGGTCGGATGGGCGTCCTGCACACACGTGGCTGTGTGTGCGTGTCGGGGAGGGGGGGGGGCGGGGCACCAGCGGTCCGGGGGTATGCTAGGCTCTACACACACAGCAACACTACTTTTTGGTAAACAATCGAGATGACACAGGCGTGTGCATTTGAACGAATCGGTCTATTTTTTACACAGCTCATAATATGCAGGCATTTCAGGCACTACTTGTGACTTCTCTTTATACATTACTTGCTCTGTGCCTTTTATTATCTACACAAAACCTCATGTTTGCTATAACGAACACTCAGATTCAACGAGGTTTTAGGCCAGGCCAGGCGACCTCGTTGAATCCGAGTTCCACTGTATAAGCACATGCGAGAGCATGGCAACATGTACACACAGACACACACACACATGTGCATGCACAAACAAGTTTTCAAAATATAATTACCCAATATCATGGAAAGCTAGCGTGTTGGATGGGGCAATGATCATCTTTAATTTTTTTCTTCTTTATCTTTGTACTACCTGATTTTGGGCCAAACTACCTGAAAATGACTCTGAATCTACCTGAAATGGGAACTTTGAGGTAGGCAGCCCTGCCACGATGCCTCACATATTACTGATCACTTTTTTTTCTGTCTTCAGATTGACTACAGCTTCGTCCCCACATACTTCGAAGGGCCAAAAGTGACTCCTCCTCTAAAAGAGCATGTTGCAACAGATGGGGAATATGTAGACACAACCAGAAAATATTGAATGAATGGCAAGTGAGCAGTGTGCAAGGTTTTTGATTGATGGTGTTTGCTTTTGTGAATGGGAAAATATATTAGATATGATGGTATGAAAATAAATGCAAATGAGCCTTGCGATGTTTGTTGTTAGTGGAGATTTGAATGAATCAGCAGCTTTGGAAACTACATTGGTCGTCTCACTTCCTTAAAAAAAATTATATGCACAATATTCAAAATCATGAAAAAAAACGAGATATGGGCCTACAGTATGGTAAAATTACTTTTGAATTTGAATTAAAACACTGTTATTTTTTTTACATATTATTGCAAATAGTGGGTAGTTTTTACTTCTGTATGTCACATGTCTTCATGATGCTAATTTTCCTCATATCTTCTTTATACCTTGGTTCTTCTTTGAGAGATAATGTTGTTGTAAGATTTTTACGGCACTTGCAACGCAATAAGGTCATATGAGTGCCAAAGATTAGAAGTGTTCAAGAAAGTAATAAACACAGAAAAGGAGGAGAGATAAGGACGATGGATGTTTGATGAGAAAGAAGGAGCAAACCACACCAGAGCACCCGCTAACCACCATACCATGGTTCTTGCCCTTGAAAAGTTAATAGGGAACAATGGCAAGTCTATGGTCTGTTTGAAACATTACATTCATTAAAAATGGGACTGATTTACACACTACGAAATAATTTGTGTGTGTTTATGTTTGCGTTTCTTTGAAAGCATTTTTATCAATATTAGGGTTGTGTTATGCTGAGCATGTATGATGTTATGTGTAAATTTTTGTACATAAGAAAAGTAACAAAATTAAGCCTCCTTGCATCAACGTTTTTTTTCTTTTTTTACACATTTGAGCTTCTGTACCATAGGGTTCCGGTTAAGGGGTTCGGGATTATGGGTTAGAGTTATGTTTAGGGGTAAGGGTTAGGGTTTGGGTTCTGATTCGGGTTTGGGATAACTTTAGGGTTAGGTTTAGGATAGGGTTGAGGTTAGATTCTGGGTTAGGGTGTGTGCGTCTTGCGTCCATTGGTGCAGTGCATGTCTGTTCGTATTTACAAATATCGATCCAGTGTTGTTGTTATTATCGATCCAGTTTTACAAATATATAGATTGCATTTATATAGCGCTCTATCCCATGCTAGTATAAGGCAAGCTCTGAGTGCTTTACACCAATCACATGATCACTGAGCGACTCACACAAGATAGGTCAACCACATAAAGAAGAAGTTTCACAACCATACATTTATTAGCCTATATAATTCACGTAAGGACAGCAGTAAAAACAAAACATATCAGCACATACTACATTGTGACACACCATACCTAAGAATTATGGGGGTATGGGATTTATGCTCACAGACAAGCGTTTGTGGTGGGATAGTAAGGCTCTTTGGTGTTTCATGCAAAAGGCATGAGTTCGATTCTCTTGTGGGGAATTTGATTATTTTATCTAGTACATTTGCCTGTCTGCTTGGATGCTGCCTTGACAGGCAGGGTAGAAGCAGCCTGATTTTTGAAAGGTCTAAGTCTTATCGCCAGAAAATGGGGGGGATGAGTGGTTGGTGGGAGCTTTTGGTGTAGGCCTCTCTTTCTTTTCTGACAAATGTCTTCCGTCCTTATCCCCCTCCTTCTTTTGTGTGTTTGTTACCCTCTTGTAACATCCCAAATGTTCAGCATTTTGTGTTGCGAGATCTGTAAAACTCTAACTTGAACCGAAAAATTAATAATAAAAAGGGGTAGGGTCAACACATTTACCATCGTTTACAAAATCATGAGTTCATTTCAGTGCCTTCTAACAGAACTGGGCACGTAATATTATTCTTTTATATTTTTAGTTTTATATTTTTATATTCTTTAGTTTTAGTAAGTTTTACACAGCACTTGCATCACAAATAGATCACCTAAGTTCCTTGGCAGAAACATACAAAGAAAGGAGGGAGGAGAGAAGCATATTAAATATACAAAGAAAGGAGGGAGGAGAGAAGCATATTAATTAAATATACAAAGAAAGGAGGGAGGAGAGAAGCATATTAATTAAATATACAAAGAAAGGAGGGAGGAGAGAAGCATATTAATTAAATATACAAAGAAAGGAGGGAAGAGAGGTAAGGGTGATATATATTTTGTAGGAACGAAAGAGCAAACCGTAAGGTTACATTGTTTCTAGTCGTTGTTGTACTGTTAGTGCAGTGCGGGAGGAGTGAGGAAAAGGTGGGGGTGAGGCATTGGGAGACGGGGGAGGGTGAGAGGTCGTGAAAAGCTTAGATCGTTTAGGAGGCGGGCTTCCGATCCTGCTTGTTAAGGACAACCCGGGCTTAAAGGGATTACAATGTTTTAGCAGAAAACTCGAAAATATACTCAATTTTAAAAAATATCTCCACGTGGGCATCAAACTCAAGTCTCCTGCGTGCGACGATGAAGTGTCTACTTGGGGGTGCCCACTAGCGGATCGGGTTGGGTCACCGGGTCGGGTCGCTTTCTGGCGGTTTGAGTGGACACTGCAACCCCGCCGCCATTGTACCCGACGACCTGGAAGTTAAAGTAGAGAAACCGTTAACCTACATGTGACTAAATTAGTAAATAGAGGGCGTAAACCGGGCTACGATTGGCTGAACCTTTGACCTCTGAAAACATTAAGTAGATCTAGGACTACGGTACTCTTGGACTTCCCCCACTCCCTCTCTCTGTCTCCCTCTGTGTGTGTGAGTGTGCGTGTGTGTGTGTGCGTGCGTGCGTGCGTGTGTGTTGCCGCACACGTGTATGTGTGTGTGTGTGTGTGTGCATTTTTGCATGAGTGCTTGCTTGCTTGCTTTAGTGTCTCTCTCCTTTCTTGTCTATTTCTAATTTTCCATATCTCTCTCACTCCCTGTCATTCTCACCACCCTCCCTCTGTAATGCTCCTCCTCGTTCTCCTTATTCGTCTTTCGTCTTCTTCCTCCAGGCCTATGAGCTCTCCAAACCCGCTGTGAGAAGTGAGAAGACTGTCAAAGGCATGAGACTGAAACCGGGAATTCCCAGAGTACCTTAAGCTTAGTTAATGTATTCATGGGTCAAATAGACAAGTGACTCAGCCTTGTTTTTGTGATTTGCTGCAAACCACCAAAAGGAGCGATTCGCAGGCCTGAAAACAAACGCGTTTGTTTTTGTGGGTCACCGACCGAGTCGATCAGTTTGTGCCACAATGGCCGCTTTGCGCCCTCAATTTAACTAGCCCCGACTACCCGATCGCATATGTGGGCACCCCCTATAACTGCTACACAACAGACACTGGTGACAACATCTAGGCTTATAAATAGCCAGGGGTCCTTTTCACTTTCATTGCGGCTCAAAAGCATCTAGTGCGCACAATCTTTGCTGGGTGTGCCTTTACTTTAGAGGTTTGTTCTAATAAGTAATGCCAATTGAGACAATACATTTGTAGGCATGCGGTTGGTAGCAGGTTGAACAATCGTGTGTCCTACGGCTGGCTCACAAATTGATAATATAATGTTCTGGTATTGTGTGGGTTTAGAGCCCCCCATAAACACATAAGGCTCATTTATGGACGAGACTTCCGAGGAGGCCCAGCCAAGTGAGAGAGGAGCCTTAAAAACTCCCAAAAGTAAAAGAAACGGAAGTTCAAAAGATTTGATGTCAGATTTGTTTGTTGTTTTTTGTTGTTGGTGGTGGTGGTGGTGTACTTTGGTGTAGCTGTTATTGTTTTTTTAATTTTATGTGTTTAAAACCCCCATCGACATAACCATAAGTTAGATCATTCAGGAGACTGGTTTCGACTCTGCCTGTCAGGGCTCGGGAAGCTTTCCGAAAATTGCAAACATGCTTTAAATTTTTGCCCAGCGAAAAATGAGTCGCCGAGTCAATAACTCGCTCTAGGAAAACTCGGGGAGAGTCAGAAATAGCTCGGCGTCCAAAGGTGCATACGTTGCCGAGTGACAGTGAGACGCCGTAGATATCTGAATGGTAGCCGTGTTCAATTCCATGCTCGCTGTATAAAAATCTCGCACGGGGAGTCTAAGCTACTCAAGCACGGCGAGCAAAAGTTGACACGACGAGCATGTAACTACTTCCTGTTGCCAGGTATCGAAAAGTGACAACGAGCTTGATGTCAGATTTCAGTGACTGCCTCCTGAAAGTGTTTGCCGATTTTCTCTAGTAGTTCTTGGGAAAAAAACTCTGGAGAAGCTCTGAGGAGGTTCCTGAAGGATGCCACATCTTCAACTTGCTGTTCAGCCATCAGCTTCTCAAACTGTCCTAAGTTCTTAGAAGCCATGGTCTAACCCAACAGGTCCTCATCCTCCTCCTCCTTCTCCTCTTCTTGCACAAGCACAACAGCAAGGGCACCGTATTATGTATACATAAAGTATACACCTCATCGTCTGTGTCATATGAGATATATTGAAGGAATGAGCACAAACATTTTGCCCCCCTTTTTATATATTATATTACAACATTGCACGCCGACTAACTCGGTGACGGGTCGGCAAGATGGTCAGCATTGACGGCGTGTTTGTCGGCATATATGAAATTTTACTCGGCCGCTGTGTTTCAAGGCTCAGCGAGCGGCCAGGATTCAAACTAATTGCTCGGCAAGGCGCTCTGCGAGACGCTCGCCGAGATGCTCGCCGTCGTAGATTAATGCTGGGCGAGCGTCTACCTGAGTGCTCGCCGACACAATAATGTTAACAGTCATGGTCAGATGCTCGTTACGATTAAACACGAATTTGGCATTATCTTATCGGGAACTGCTCGTCGACTTTTCTCCTGTATGTGTAAACACCGCACAAGTGAAAGCGCCCATGAATCAAATCTAAATACATTGTACATGTATTGTGGATTCCCTCAGTCGAGGGTTTTAATTCATCCATTTGCAAATTATTCGAAACATTTCGGTTGCGAATTTTGCTCTTGTGTGCGTATATTACCTCAGAATTACAAACTCTATCTGACATTTTTTGGCCGTTTTGAGTTACAAGGACCATGAGGTCAGAAAGCAAATTATTTATCTGCTCTTTGTTTTTTAGTTTAGTATGGGGTTTTACGGCGCTCGCAATAGCATCAGGTCAAATGAGCGCGCGTTTATCTGCTCTATTAATATCGCAAGAATATTTGCAGTCGTTGTCAAGATATTGAACGAATTGCATTTTTTAAAAAGCTTGACATATTGTGAATCTCCAAATTTTTGTTGTCATATTTTTCAAAACTGGGTATTGAGCAGATAGAACTTTGTAATTCTGAGGTAGCGATATAACACTGTATAATGAGGTGCCATCTCTGGCTCAGCGAGGTTGACGTGTATTGACCCTCCATCCAGTGCTCAGAGTCGCCAGCTGCCGTTTTCCATATAGATACCACACACACGCTCGTCCATGCCTTGATGTCATCCGTCCATGTTGCTCTTTGTCCCTTCTTGGCCCTCTTGCCCAGCATCTTGTCTTCGAGTACGTGTATATAAAGTGCTTACTTCTGAATGGTCCAAAGTGTACACATGAAGCTGATACCATGTGGTTACTAAAGATCTGGCGTGTATAATCACTGGAGTCGCTTGATTCGTAGATATTACTTTGATATGTACATTTAGTTAGTAAGAGTATTTCGGCGCTCGCAACTGCATACGGTCATAGTCATATAATATATGAGCGCGCGAAACACAAGTTGGTCGCATTCACAACCATTCACAGCACGGCTTGGT